CAAAACCCCAAAACCCCAAAACCCCAAAGTACTCAATTATAATCAATCAGGTATAAATTTATATTGAAAAATAATAATATTTACTCGAATTATCGTAAAAGGTTTATAATGGCACAATTAGATTAAAAGTCACTGACCCTTGAATAGTTAAGTAAAAAAGCAAAAATAATAAATTTACAGTTAGCACCTTAATTTTTAAGTAATAACTATCGAAATCATTTAAAACCTTAACTGAACCTAATTTTTAATCCTTATTAAATCCCTGCATAAACTGCTAAAATAAGGAAAAGAGTTAATGCAACACCTGATTGTTAACCTAATAAAAGGATGTTTAAAGAAAATAAAATATTGAATATTTCAGGTAAAAAGCCTTTAATGAGTAATAAGCCATCTCAGAAACAATTGCTTCATAAATGCACATCAAATAAAGATATTGAGCATTTAACAAGGAATATCAGTAAATTCGAGATTGATGAATTTGAATTTGCACCAAATAACCCTGAAGATAATCAGTTTAATTAAGATTAAATTTCTATTTAGGACAATAAAGAGATAGAATTGGAATCAGAAAGTAAACCTAGGAGCAAAAGAGTTTCTGTTTTAAATGTGATTGGCAAAAAGAAGGATGAGATAATACCGTAGTATTAAACTTTGGAAAACAATCAAATGCCTATATATCCAATGCCTACATAGGTTTTAAATGAGAGCGTTAAAATGAGATCGAGATAAGAAACGCAAACATTATATGGGTTATAACAATAACTTAAGTTTATTACAAATGGACTCTAAAAAAGTAGTAATCTTTTGAAAAGCATCAACATAAATAACAATGACTCCTTCAATTCAATAGATCCTCTTCCCTAACTTTTCTCTATGGATTAGATACAGTAATCATCTCATAACATTCTAAGATCGGTATAATAATCACAATCAAATACCTTCTTAAACTCAAGAAATTCAATAGAGACATCATTAAGTAAATTAAGAGGATAACCTCAACAACAAATTTAGTCACTTACTCCAATTCAGTAATAACTCGTGAATATGAATAAAAACCGAAACTGGATAAATAACATCATGAATAAAAAGAGCCCCTTGATATTTAATCAGATGTCACTAAGGAACTCAGACAGTTACTTTGCTATAAATAAGATGCATGAGGCAAGTACTGAACTTAGAGTTAATACAGATCAGGATAAAGAGACCTTAAGATTGAGGAAAAATTTACAACTAAGAAGATTAAAGGAATACATTACCAGAAAAAATAAGAATAATAGATAGAAATATGAATAAAAGATTGATGGTTAAAATAGTAGAATACATTCCTAGACACCAAAGCCAATAATTGAGCAAACGATTTCGATGAAATCTTGTCTTTAGAAAATCGTCCAGCAAGGAACTAGGATCAAAACAATTTAAAAGCCAATAAAAAGCTAACAAAAACTTCATTTGATCAATAATCTAGATTAGTAAAAGAATAATGAATACAAAGTAGATGATAGCTACAACTTTTTGAAATAAAGTAGATTATCTTCATCGAGTGATGAAGACCTGTGTAGACTTACAAATCCTACTTTGAAAGTCGAAATAATAAATGCTAAGAAGGAACTTGATGAGTTGAGTTAGATGCAAGGTTTCAAAAAAGATGATTAGCTTATTTAATCACTTATAAGAATTGAGACTTGCAAGTAACACTCAAGGAATAACCATGAATCTTTTACTACTGTCAGATCATCATAATAAAACAAAAAGAAAATAAAGACCATAGATCTAAATAAACCTACTAGATTAATTTTCCACATTCCCAATCTTAAATAAAATCATTCAAACTATTAAAAACCTCCCTTGAAAGATAAAACTTCTAAACTAGACATTGATAGCAGCGAAGGGTATCAAAGTGCAGCTCGATTACAATAAAACTAGGAAATTTCAAAATGGGAAAATTATCACTAGAAAGAGGAAGATTCACACAGGTTCTTTGCAATTAAATCCTAGAATGATTTTAAATATTCTACCACAATTTCTCGCGGAGATAATTTCTCTTCAGTAATGGGTAGTACTAAAATAGACTTTTATTAGAAACGGCATTGAAAATGCTTTATAAGTTTAAGAATGCTTTATTTTCATATTCTAAGCATTTTTTTGCTAACTTTAATTTCTTAAAATATAAAATAATGATAATTATTTAAATTATAAAATGTCATAAAGATAACAGTATCAAGTGCCACACGGTGGTGGAACCATTCAACAATCATCTGGCGCGAATATGGCAATAAGATAAGGCAATCATTAAACCAGGAAAATTGTCAACACTAACAATGCTGTCTAGAAAACGATTGATCTTAATAGAAGAAAGAAAATTCCATATTATCTTAGGAAGAATACAAATGAGAAAAGAGTAAGTAAAGAAAAATATATCAGAATATAACTGCCTATAACATCCTCTCGGATGAATTCAATAGCATTAATTATTTAATTTAGAAAATCATTCAAAAACCTTGGTCAAAGCCAATGGCTGCATAGCATTTAGCTGCTATCAAGATCTAGTCAGCAATTAGAAAGTTTTTGTATTATAAGAGAAAGCTTGAGCGCAGAAACTAAAACAGACCAGGAGTTTAAAATGCTCAGCAGAGACAGAAGTAAACAGTAGCCACACAAGGAGGAAAAGGCATGGCAAAGATGTACTAGCATAAAGTCTCAAATACTAGTGAGTTATAGCACCTAACTCCCAATCAAAGACTTAGATAAAAGTTTTTTACATCCCCTTACAATGTTTTACATAAGAGCGAAGAAACTTGCTGGAGAAATTTTTGTGCAGCATTAATTTAGGCAACATATAGAATGGCACTTACAAGGAGACTCTTCAGGTATCATAGATTCGCAATGTATCACATTGCTGCCATCTAAATATAATGGGCATGGAGAGGATATTAGGAAAGAAAAAAGAAGCTCCCAGTTAAGAGCAAGGAAGTCATTGCAGCAGAAAAACTTTAAAAAGCTTGGAGATCTTTCACTAATGTGAAGATTTTCAAGTATTATAAGGATCTTATTAATTTTAAGGAGAAGTAAGTATACGAATATCGAATAAATTAAATGAATCTTAATATAGAGGAGATCCTTCATAGCTACTAAAGAGTGTTAATCCAGCTGAGGCTGGGATTTTAGACGCTGCTACTAAATGTCATATAAGATTTAGACTTGGAGGAGATGTATTTTATTTCCAATATATTTGATAACTCTTCATAGAAATTCCCTCCATTGATTTATTACAAGATATTCTCTCATGGTTCAATTGTTGATATAAACGCTTTTGCTCCTCGTGATTATGTTAAAATTAAAAAGGAAAAGAAAAAGGAGACCATCAATATAAGATTTGATAAGGAAAAGAACGATAAGCATGATGGATGGTATAACAGATATGAGAATAATGGATGGAGACCAGTAAGCCCAAATATATTCTTGCCAATAATAAATCTATGTTGTTTAGATTAGTGATAAGATTCTAACTCCTTACGATGCAGTGGAGTTAAGAACAGCAAACAAGCCTAAGAAGTTTCATTTTGATAAGGCAAAGAGAAAAGAAATGACTGCAAAAGAGAAGAGATCTAAGAAACTTAAATGGCTGAGAAAACTCTATAAGGATGCAAAAAATGCAGAACTGCTTGGAGAAGCTCCAGATTTGATCACTTAAAATGGAAATAAGAAATAAGACTTGAAGGCTCTAGAGACTCTTTATGACAACCCATTCGACGATCAGAGATTCCTTTAATTGAATGATGGAGAGTTTGAGAATGAAGTAAATAATCTTATAGAATGGTGTGAAGATCTTGATTATGAAAAATACATTGGAAACTGGCATTAGCTTGCTACAAGCGCATATGTAGGGTCATCTGGATAAGATCAAAATACAATGGGCTAATCAATGAACAATGGTGGATAATATTTAATGAGTGCTGGGGGCTAAGGAGGTGAAATGATAGACCCTGAATAAATAAGAAACTCAATGGGAGACGATCGTTATTAATAAGCCTATTAATAACATCAACTACAGGAAGAATAATTCTTGAAAGCAAATGTAGACTATGAAAATAGATTAAAAGAGCATATCTATCAGTTTGAGGAAAATAAATCTGCAATGTCTGGCGCAAAGGGTAGTCTTAAAGGAGCAAACTCATCAGCAGGTGATTAAATAGGAGATCTAGAGTGATCTTATTTGGCTGGGTAGCTTGGATAATGTTTAACCCACATGCTGAAAAATAAGTTGAACCAGAATGAAAGGCGATTGAATGATTTAATATTAGAATTAAGTTTTCTTAATTATTAAATTAAAAATGAATGGATAATTACAAAAAATTCAATAGCTGGATGACTAAGTGCTAAAATTACAGCAAAAGGTATTGAGCTAACGAGTGTTAAATTAAAATAGGGTAACTATGAAGATTGCTTGATTAAACTTGAAAAGGCATTAGTTTTAAAGTAAAGCAATTTCGGTACTTCTAGTTCAGAGGTAAGTCTAAATTATAAATGAAATTAACTCTCCTAATAATTGAATTTTACATGAATATATTGATACTGGGCTATCGATGAACTTAATCTATTTATATTTAGTACACAAAGACTTGTCTATAAATAAGCAACATTTGCAATATTTTAGCGATTAGCCTTGTTAAAGCTGAATAATTTAATAGAGCTTTAGAGTTATTGAAGAAATCTGAGGCTCTATGTGAAAATAATGATTATGGAAAGTCTATGACTTATAACAATATAGCTTGTTACTACAGAAAGTGAGTAAAAAATTTAGAATGAATTAATCATAATTAAAGATTAGGCAAATTGAGATCAGCTCTGACCTATCTTGAAAAGTCACTTGAAATTGAATAGACATTACCTTACCACAGTTCAAAAGCAGATACCCATCTAAATATCTGCGCTGTTCTATCACAAATGAATAAGCATGATATTGCCTTACACCATGCTTAGTGCGCTATTATGATTGTACAATCAAATCTGCTCAAAGCTTTTTTGCCTAAAAGAGAAAAAATGGTGGAAACTGATGCTTAAGCAAACATGAATTATGAAATTGAGAAGAATTTCAAAGACAGAGTTACTGTACTTGCAATTGCTTATCATAATTTGGGGGTTGAATAGGAATTTCTTAAGCTTGTAAGGATTGATTATTATTTACTATTTGTACTCATAGTATCATGAATCATTAGAAAGCTACAGATAAGGAAAAGAATTTGCTGAGAGATATTTAGGCCCGTAGGATGGAATAACTTAGAGTCTAACTAACTAATATTACAAAGCTAAACGAGAAATTGACAAGAAAATGGAGTATAATGAGGCAAAAATCAAGAGAAGGGAGGTAATAAATCATGAAAGATAGAGAATATTCACAGCTAACAGTAGCCAGACAAGAGGAAGCATCAATGGATCATTTAATGCGACATAATCAAGACCAACTAGTAAAAAGCTTGGAAGACTATCAAGTAATTAGGATAACAGCATGGTCAATATGGAAGGAACATAGCATGTATCATCAATGACTTAATTTCTAAAGCATCAAAGCCAGCCTAGAGTATAAAGTAGTCATCATTTCAGGAGAAGAATGAGATCTCCAGAATATAACTAACAAATGGAGACTGGCTTTTACATGTAGAATTAAAATGGCAACTAAATTATGAATCATTTCCCTATGCCAAAGGACAATCAAAATTTTAACTAAGGAGATAGCTACTATTTGCCAAATGATGAAGAATCTCAGCTTAATGTCTACCGGTAGTAAAATGAAAGAGCATACATGACATCCAATAACGGTAATCCTTAATAAATGTCAGGTTAGGGAATTGCAATAAACATGAATGGAGGAGGAGGTCACCCAAGAATGAATTTTGAAGAGCATCGGGGCTCTGCTAAAGAAGTTCCCTTCCTCAATTACTGAAATTGATCTATTCTTCTTAAATTATTCGAATTCAGAGCAAAAGGAATGTAATAGCATGGATCCTCAAAAGCTGTGGCATTTTAAATTGAAATGATACAAATATATAACTAGATGATTGTATTTTTAATTAGGCATATATAAATTTCAAGCTAATTTAAATTAAATTTAAAATGCAATCTATTACAAAAGGTTTACTATAATTACCAGCAAAGTTTCCAAATAAGAAAATACTTAGTATTGACATTGGGGGAAACCTTGCAAAGACAGCGTTTTACATCCCTAAGTCAGATCCCTAGTTCTAAGACCACAAGAGTTTCGAGATTTTAACAAAAGATACTATACCAAGTAAGTTTTTTAACACTTTAATGATTGAGTTTTTGATTGAAGACATTAAATCATAATTATTAATAACTATTAGTAGAGTTATCAAACGGAGAGATGATCTATCTCAAGAGTTTCCCCTCAACAAAGATACATGAGTTCATTAAATTTGCGAAATAGCATAAATTAATTGATAAAGATTCCTAGCATATTCATGCAACAGGGGGAGGTGCTTATAAATATAATGATCTATTCGAAGAAGAATTCGGATAAATGGGAGTTCAATTGAAAAAGCACGATGAAATGGAGTCCTTAGTTAATGGAATGAGCTTTATTTTGAATTATGGTAAAGAGCCTGCCTTTAAATATATCTAAGGAGAAGGCAAAAAATATCTCCCAAGAGAAAGTACAACTCAGTTTCCAAAACTTTTAATATCAATTGGATCGGGTGTATCAATAATAAAAGTCAACAATTTCAATTCGTTTGAAAGAGTCTCAGGTACTATGATAGGAGGAGGTACTCTCCTTGGCTTGGCAAATCTATTGACAGGAATCAATGATTTTGATACAATTTTGGAAATGTCTAAAAGAGGAGACAATAATAATGTCGATATGCTAGTTAGAGATATTTATGGAGATAAATCACCATTTAAGGATCTGAAAGGAGATTTACTTGCTAGTAGCTTTGCTAAGGTAGCATTTGACAATGAATTCGATGGAAATCTGAGATTTGATGATATTTCTGGCAAATATAAAAAGGAGGACATTTTAAATAGTTTAGTCTTTATGATCTCTTTCAACATAGGACAGTTAGCATACATGACAGGACAATTGCATCAAGTTGATCAAATGTACTTCATAGGTAATTATGTCAGAGGCCACGACTTAGCAATGGAAAGGATTAACTTTGCAGTAGAATTCATGTCATAACAGAAGACTTAGGCTCAATTTTTAACCTATGACGGGTATCTTGGAGCGATTGGTGCATTTATGAAGGAGTTTGAAAATGATACTAACTGATAGTCAAAGTATATGGTTTTCATAGAAATATCTTTCCCAAACAATCTTAAGTGATCTTAAATATTTTCCTAATATACTGAAATATCATAATTCTTTCATTCTATATTGACTAGGGGTTTTGGGGTTTTGGGGTTTTGGGG